GGGAGCTGACTCACGATGTCACACAAGCCAGCAGCAGGTGACCCTGCGCTCCCATCTCCTTCATTGGAGTCCTCAGCCCAGTTCCTGCACCTCTGCCTCAGGTCTTCTGTGGCCCTTCTAGGCCATGGACACAGTGGGCCCTGAGAGGGAGGCAGCCTGTGCAGCGTGGGTGTGTCAGGGTGTGGAGGGCGAGGCAGGGTCTGCAGGGCTGAAGTCTGCATGCTGAGCTGTCCGAGGCAAACTGCACTCCCTTTCTGTCTCCTCAGTTCAGCCAGGCCCTGGCCATCCGGAGCTACACCAAGTTTGTGATGGGGGTAAGTCCAGCTGCCCTGGCCTTCCCTGTGGGCGGGGTGGGGCTCAGGGCAGCTTTGGGATGGGGAGGCGGGTCTTAGTGCAAGGTGCTGCGCAGCGTGTGCAGGGCCGGGCTGGGCAGACCGCCGGCACTCAGGTCTCTCTGGGTTTCAGATCGCAGTGAGCATGCTGACCTACCCCTTCCTGCTGGTCGGAGACCTCATGGCTGTGAACAATTGCGGGTAGGTGTGCAGCCCTCCGCGGCCCTGCCGACTGCGGGCTTCCCCAGCCGGGCCTTCCTGGCTCTCTGCCCCCTCCCACCTGCCCGTGTACACAGTTCCCCTGGATCCACCAGCGCCCTGTGGGGTGAACCTGAGTTCTGGATGTCGGCAGGTGGCAGTCCAAGGCTGTTTTCTTGAGGGTGTAGCTGACCTCCCTCTGTCCTCTGGCTCTCACACACTGTCCTTCCCACAGGCTGCAGGCTGGGCTCCCCCCCTACTCCCCAGTGTTCAAATCCTGGATTCATTGCTGGAAGTACCTGAGTGTGCAGGTGAGTGAGCCCGGGAAGCTGGAGGCTTTTCCCATTCTTTGCCACAACTGTCCCCTGAATGGTTCTGTGGGCTCTTCGTTGTAGGGGCGACTAAGGGGTCTCACGGAATCTCTCCTGAGTACGGAGAATAGAGAAAATACAGACACTTGGTTTAAGGCTTTTAAGTTAAATTTGCACTTCACCTAATTTAAGAAAGAATTTGAGGTGGCTCAGTTTGGATTCATTTAAAAGTCACACATCAGAGCTGTGTGTGGTGGCGTACAGCCACCGTCCTGGTCCCTGGAGGCCGAGGTAGAAGCGCCCAGGAGTTTGAGGCCAGCCTGGGCAGCCCAGTGAGCCCTGTGCCGTAAGAAGAACAAACAAAGTAAGAATTCCACAGAAGGTGCAGTCTCCTTGACTCTTAAAGACTTAGGACAAGGATGAGGATGTCCTGGCCCCTGGGGTGGGTAGTTAAGCCTCGGCACTTGTCCTTCAAGGCACCTGGGCTGAAAATGTGAGGCCCGAGACCACGGTAGCTGAACCAGTGTTGGGACGTGGCACGCAGGAGGTCCCCAGGCCCCGCAGAGTGGCGCTGACCACATGGGGAGCCTGCGGGGGGCAGGCCTGGGTTCTGGGGTGTTGTGCTGAAGCTGCCTTCTGCCGGCTGGCGCTCCCGGGCCCAGCGGTCGGGGACCAGGCTTCTAGGCAAGGGCAGACCTGCCTTCTTTCAGCCTTGGTTTGCCCCACAGTAAATGTGGCCTTGGCCTGGGGAGAGCAGGGTGCTGGCTGGCTTCTGGGTGAGAAGAGGGTGGAGAGAGGGAGGGGGACAGCCAGCCGGTCCTGCACTGCAGTCGCTCTGCATCGTACTCCTCCCTTGAGGCTCAGTTCCCTTGGGCTCTGAGGCCAGAAGAGCACCAGCCTCCTCTTGGGAGTTCCTCCTGAGGAGCCTCAGAGACACTGGGCACTCCCGGGCATGAGGTGGCCTGCTGGCTCCTGAGCACAGGCAGGCTGACCTTGTCCTCCCAGGATGCAGACCTGATCCTCTACCTGCACTGGGGCCTCAGAGCCGGGTGCCTCTTCTCTGAGGCCATGGGGAAGCTCCTCGCCTCACGGTCACGTTCCTTCCCTTCCAGGGCCAGCTGTTCCGTGGCTCCAGCCTGCTTTTCCGCCGGGTGTCATCAGGATCGTGTTTTGCCCTGGAGTAACCTAAACCACCTGACCAAACTCCTAGGCTCAGCCTGGCCCTCGGGTGAGGCCGATCATTTCGGGATACCTGTAGGGAGACTGCAGCCCAGCGACACCTAGGTGTACCCCAGCCCGGCTGGGCTACAGTTTTCTTATTGGCCATGTGTCTCTTGAGGTGTGGGGTTGCGCAGGGGTGGGCTGCACCCAGTGGGTGGGGTCACCTGTTAGACCCGGAGAAGGTGGGGTGGGGGGTGGGGAGTTGAGGCGTCATTCCCTGACTTCCCAGAGTCGGCCTTGTACAGAGCCAGAGAAAGGCTTGTGGAGCCAGGGTGGTTGAGGGAAGCCTAATGGAGTCGGTCCCACCCACTTGCACCCCTCCAGGGAGCCCGGCTCTCCCTCTGCAGCTCGGCTGGGAGTGTCTCTCCTGCTTTGTAAATAGGGCATGACCCCTTCACGAGGCCACCATCATGACTGGGCCTAGGCTAGAAGGCCAGTGCCAGGTTCTGCCTTGGTTTTCTCAACACTACTTTTGTGATTCGAGGGCAGCGCCTTTTTCTGAGTTGGAAATCATGTGACTCTTCAGAATGTGTCCCCCTCACCTAATGCTTGTCTGTTTAATGGTGACACCTCGTGTGCAGGATTCGGTTACCTGTGCAGTTGTGGGAATGTCTCTAGCCCTACCCAGTATAAAAATTCATGGTAACATTTGACCCCACCTCCCTCAAATAAATGTATTGGTGGTGATTTGGAGTTTTGTGGGGAGTTTCTTATTTTTGTGACTTTAAACATCTAAGCAGAGTCTGGCTGGGATTGTAGTTTGCCTAGCACACGTGAGGCACTGGGTTCGGTTCTCAGCACCACATATAAGTAAATAAAATAAAGGTCCATCAACAACTTAAAAAAAACTAATTTATTAAAAAAAAAAATCTAAGCAGAGTCATTCTCTGTCCGTCATGTTGGTGTGGACAGAGGGACAGCAGGCGGGGGGAGCACCGCCCAGGAGCAGGAGTGTGAAGCTGGGTGGGGATCAGTCTCAGGGTGAGATGAGCCCCCAGAACAACAGCTGGTGTCAGACCTTCTGCCAGCGAGGCAGCTCTTCCAGAACGTGTTCCCGCCAACCCTTAACTCAGCACCTTTAGAAGATGGCCTGTCTTCAAGTCCTGCTGAGTGGTTTGTTTCAGTGGCCACATGATTGCAGCACAGGGGATAACCTTCCCTTCCTTTCCTTTCCATTGGGTTTTGCCCAGCACCAGGGTCTGTAAACAGACAGTGTCTTGCGGTCCAGCTGTGCTCCCACAGTGCTTCTCTCCTTTGCTCCGGGACACCTGGCTTATTAGCACTGAGGTCATTCTTCCCTCACAGCATGGCGTGGTTGTCCCCACCAGGGAAGACCCTGGGATGTTTTTGCAGTAGTCTGGTGACAGTTGACTCGGGAAGTTTGATGTGGTTGTCTTTGATTGGCAGGACACAGAACTGTGCCTGTGCAGCTGCTGCAGAAACAGCTAGTGCTCGAGGCTCCCAAGGCCTCAGGACTTGGGTCCCACACCCCCTTTCCCTGGTGGGAAGGGGAGGGCGTGGGGGGTCGGTCTAGGCCTCCGCAGCACCATTTCCTTAGAGCAGTCGGGCCTCGTGTCCTCAGAGGGGAGTGGGCTGCTCCCGTTCTCCAGCCCTGTGATCGCCCCTGTCCTGACCACTGTTCAAGGTCACTTTTCTTTCTGCTGCTCCACCCTCAAATTCATTTTTGCACTGATGACTTCCTGTGATTCCCCGGATCTGTGGAGCCTGGACTGAGCTGGCCCTGAAAGAGCCCTTCCCTCTGATAGCCACATCCTCCTGGATATTTGGAGAGGCTGCCCATGGCCATTCAATACCTGGGGCAGGGTCAGTGCCATCTTGAGGTAGTATCCTGAGGTCTTTTAGGCTTCAGGGTATTGTGTCAGTCGTAGAAACTGGAACGGCGGATGCTGGCCTGAGGAAGGAGGCCGACTCGCCACAAGGGCCAGAGGCAGGCGGCACAGTCTTGTTCTAATGGGCAAAGTGGGAAGGGTTTTTTGGGACCCCCTCGTAGTGAAGCCTGAGATGACAGGGGTGTCCTTTGTTGGCCCCTCTGCAGCCCTTGTCACTGCAGCCCCAGAGGCTGAGCAGCCGAGTGGCAGTGCTGCAGCAGACCTTTATGCTCAAGGCCTGTGCTGACTAGCCTCCTCCCTGCCCATCTCGCCCCCTAACCTGTCTGTCTGTCTGTCACAGCTTGGCCTGACAGGTGCGGATATCATGCCCAGTGTCCTTGTATTTCCCCCCAAAATAAATTTCCCAGGTCCCTACTTAGGCAGATTCTTTCATGTGATGGGTTCCCTGAGGGCTCTCAGCAGATGCAAAAGGCAGGAAGAGCCACCCCCAGACTAGAGAAGGTGGGCTTCTATGGGTCCTGCTCCAGGGGGCCCCTGACCCAACCACCACCCAGGCCCTGGCAGTAGACCAAGAACTGGTCCAAGAGGAGACCCTGGCACTAGCTGAAGAAAACAGGCAAGGGACCTCCCAGAAAGGCAGCTGGTTGAACCTCTGTCAGTTAATGGAACACACTCTTCTCCTTAGACAAAGCAAAATCACATAGTCAACACAGGACAACCTTCAGGATCAAAAGGTTCAGTGGAAGCCTTGGAACGTAGCTCAGTGGTAGAGTGTCTAGCATGTGTGAGGTCCTGGGCTCAGTCCCCAGCTCCACAAAGCAAAACAAAACAAACATTCAGTGCCCTGGGAATTGGGATAAAATGGCATCTATGAGAAAACCAGAATTCAGATTGGTGCATTAGTGAATGGGTTTCTCCAAGACCAGGAATGAGAATGTCCATTCTTGCCTCTTCTAGTCAATATAGTGCAGGAGATTCTCATTAGGAAACTGCTGAGAAAAATGAAGTAAAAACCATATGCATTAGAAAGTAAGAAGTAAAAAACGACCTGTTTGCAGATGACATGACTTATACAAAATCTTAAGGAATCCATTTTTAAAAAAACGCATTTAGTCAATGAGTTCAGCAAGGTAGCTGGATACAAGATCAATATTTTGAAAAAATTTATTTTTATACATAGAACTAACAAACTAAAAACAATTTCATTTACAGTAGCATAAAAATAATAAAATGCTTAGGAATGTTTAACAAAAAAATGCAAAACTTTGAAAACTACAAACATTGTTGAAAGAAATTAAAGAAGGGCTCATTAAGTGGAGAGACAGCCCATGTTCATGGTTGACTTAGCGTGGCAGATTACACAGTCTGTAACAAAAACTCTGCTGACTTCTTGGCAGAAATTTGACAAGCTGATCCTAAAATTCATATGGAAATTCAAGGGGCCCAGAATAGCCAAAACAATCCTGAAAAAGAAGAACAAAGTTCAAGAACTTGAGTGTCCTGATTTCAAAACTTTAATACAAAAGCTGCTTAATTAAACTCTGGCACATAGAATAAAATTCAGAGCCCAGAAATAAACAAATTTATGGTCAATTGGTTTTTGACAAAGGTGTTGAGACAATTTAATGAGAGAATAGTAATTTTTCAACAAAAGGTGCTGGGACAACTGGATATTCACATGTAAAAGAATGAAGCTGGATTCATAGGAAAATAAACCGAAAATGGTTGATTAAAGATTTTAAGAACTAAAACTAAAAAGGAAGCACAAGTATAAATATCTACGACCTTGGATTAGGCAATGGTTTCTTAGGTGATGACATCTTAAGCACAAACAACAAAAGAAAAAGTAGATTTGACATCAAAATTTAAAACTCATATTCAAAGAATATCAAGAATGAGAAGCCACAGAATGGGAGGAAATGTTTGCAAATCTGATAAAGGACTTGTACTGAATGTATAAAGAACTCCTACAACTCAGGAAAAGGACAAATACACAGCCCAAGACAAATAGTCATCAGGGAAGTGCAAATTGAAACCACCAGGGGATACTACTTCTCACCTGCTAGGGTGCCTGTGATGGAGAGAAGAACAAGGGTCTGCATGGATGTCGAGAAGTCCTGAGGCCCTCACATGCTTGGTGTGAGAATGTAAAAGCAGTTCAGGGTTTCTCCAAAAGTTAAAGTTAACTAATGACCCAGATATTCCATGTATATACCCAAGCAAATTGAAAACTCATGTTAAAAAAACTGGTACAAGAATACTTAATGTGGCATTACTCATAGTTCAATAGTGGAAAGAACTGAAATGTTTACCAGCTGACACCTGAATGAATGAATTATGAATGGACGAATAAAATGCATTCCAGAGGGCTGGGGATGTAGCCCAGTGGTTGAGCATTTGCCTTGCATGCACAAGACCCTGGGTTTGGGCAGGGGGGAGTTAATCTCCTTTTGGTATTCACAACATCCAGGGACTTTATTTTTTTTTTTATTTATTTTTTAAAAATATTTATTTATTTTTTAGTTATTGGTGGACACAACATCTTTCTTTGTATGTGGTACTGAGGATCGAACCCGGGCCGCACGCATGCCAGGCGAGCGCGCTACCGCTTGAGCCACATCCCCAGCCCAGGGACTTTATTGATGTATTTTAAACCACATTAAATAAAGAGTCTGTTGCCTTAAAAAAAAAAAATAAAATAAAAAAGACCCTGGGTTCAACCCTTAACACTGAGGGAAAAAATTCCATAGAAAGGAATATTACTTGACAATAAAAAAGAATGAAGTTCTGATCCATGTGACATTGATGAGCTTGAAGACAAGTGAAAGAAGCAATCACAAATTATATATGATTTACCAGGAAATTATATGTAATGTCAAGAATGGGTCAATTCATGTAGATAGTATATTAGTGGTTACTTTAGCTGGAGTGGTTTGGCTAGAAATGGGGAGTGACTGCTAGCAGGTATAGTGTTTCTTTGGGGATAATGAAAATTTCTAAAATTGCTAGAAGTGATGGTTACACAGTCCTGTGAATATACTAAAAATATTGTGGCAAATCTTAGGTTATGTGGGTTATTAATAGAGCTAAAAATGTATATAAAGAAAATGAGGGGCAGGACCTCTGGTTACAGGCCAAGCCTGCAGCCTGGCCTGTAGCCAGATGGCCTGAAATGAGGCCATCCTGCCATCCCTGCCCTCCTGCTTCGGCCTGCTCTGCTCCCCATCACCCTTGGTCACCCATTTGCTGCTGCCCCTGCTTGTGTTTTCCTAGCCCACAGCACTTCTGGAAAAGCCTGCTCTGTTTTCCTGGAAAAGCATCTGGGACCCCAGAATCCATTCTGGGGGCTCCTCCAGCACCAGGGCCAAGCCCTGCCTGCAGTGCACTCCTGACCTGTTCCAGGGGGGCCTGGGCAGCGGCACCCTCTGTAAAGGTCAGACACCTTGCTGACCCTGAGCCTCAAACCAGTGAGGCCCCATTGGGAGTCACCAGATCGGGCCTGCCCTTTCCTGTGTGGCCTGTGATGTGGGTGGCGGGGAGTTACAGGAAGGGAACAGATGGAGTATCTGGGGGGAGAAGATGTGAAGGGGGACTCCAGGGTCACAGGTTGGTGGGGGAGAGCCTAGGCAGGGCCTCCCACATCGCCCTCCTTGCCTTCAGCCGTCATAAGCACTGGGGCGCTGGGTGCTCCCAAATAGGCTTTATTCAGGAGTCAGGGGGCCTCCTCTGGTCCCTGCCTCCCAATCCAGAGAACCCTACTTGGGTAGGGCTTGTGCCTCCGCTCCTGCCTCCCCAGCCGCATGGGCACACGAAGCCACAGCCTAACAGAGCAGGGCGGCCCTGCTGGACAGGGCCGCGCCCAGAATCCCACCCCCTGCAGGAATCCATGCTGGGGCAGGAGGGGTCCTGGCTGGAGTGCAGCCATCTTGGTCCCTGAACTGGCAGCCAGCCGGCATGGTGCAGCCTGGATGCTCCGGATGAGGCACAGGCCTGGCAGCCCTTCCCTCCCCAAGGGCCTTCGCCAGGAAGCTGAGGGGCTGGGAACAGGGTGGGAAGATGGCAGTTGAGCAGCGACCTGGGAAGGCAGGAGTCACGTCTGGGGACAGCCCTGTACTCAAATGGCTTGAGGAAGAGGCCAGGAGATTGGAAGGAGTCAAGGGGCTCCTGGGAGCCTGAGATCCTCTGGCTCCAGGAGAGCAGCCTGCGGCCACAAGACAACTGGATACGGGGTACACGTGGCCACTGGAACACTGCTCAGGAGTCTGTGTCCCCCACACCCCAGGAGGAGGCACTCCCTCCTGAGGCAGTCGGGCTAGTCCTGTTGAGGCCTCCTGAAGGGATCAGAGCTGGCCTGGGATCTGGTCAGAACCTGGGGTGCAGAGGAGGCACTTGGGCCACAGAGCAGGACCTTCCCAGGAAATGGGGACCTTTTACTTGGAAAAAGACAACCTGAGTGAGCAGGAGGTCAGGGTTCCCCTCCCTTCCCCCAGGCTTGCCTTGAATGTTGTCCCCTTCAGAAGAGTCCAGCCAACATCAGGGGAGGCAGCAGCAATAGTCCCTGGGAAGGACCCCACTTGTGACCGGAGCTCAGCCTCCACTCCCTGCTCTCTGTACCTGTGGGAAGGAAGGGGCTTTGGCTCAGCTGGAGAGAGCTGCCACCGGCCTCACCAGCCCACCCCCAGCAGGGAGCCACGGCCAGGGAGGAAGTGCCTGCTGCGGGTGCAGGCCCTGCCAGCCCAGGCCACCTCCGCTGGAGGCAGGTGGGAAGGAAGGAGGCTACTGCCCTTACCTGGCAGGGATGACTGCAGGGCCAGGGTACGCCCACCCCTGGCATTAGCAGCAGCAGAAGCATTGGGGACATTGGGCTGGGACTTGGAGGAGGGCTGTCCCGTGTGGTCCAGGGTGGCCTGCAACTCATCTGGTTTGGCCTGGTCTGGAATATCTGACACCAAGGTCTCACTGGAAGGAAGCAGCTCGGCTTCTGCCTCAGCCTCTGCCTCAGCCTCAGCCTCTGCCTCAGCTTCTTCCCGTGCATGGGGTAGGGATTCCCTTGTCCCTGTCAGGGACATCTCAGGGTAAAGAGGTTTCTCTGGGCTCATGGAGGGTGCTCTTGTCTCACTTTCTACTTCGCCCGTGTATTTTGGAACAGAAACATGGGTCGATTTGGGGACGGTGACCGGCCCTTCATCCGAGGAGAGCGGATCGTGAGCTGTCGACGCAGAAGGGACCTCACTCGTTAGGGAAGGCGGAGCCTCTGTGGCCGTCGCGGAGGGCTCCTTGGTGGCTGAGGAGGACGGGGTCTTTGTTTCCACAGTGGGCGGGGCCTGCGTGGCCGGGGAGCCCGAGACCTCGGTCACCCAGGAGTGCGCGACCTCTGTCGCCGGGGAAGGAGCGCCGGCTTTCCTAGAGCCTGAGGCTTCCGTGGCCCGAGTGGACGGGGCCGCAGTTTCCAGGGAGGGCAAATCCTGCTCCTCTTCCGGGCCACTGATGGGCTCTGATAAGACACCCAAGGCCGCGCGTCAGTGCCGCAAACCGGACCCCACCTCCCTCCGCCACCGCAACCAACGCGGGGCGACCGCGGCTACCAGGACGCACAGACACCGATCGGGACACCTCCCCAGCGGGTATGTCCCTCGGAGATGACCCTCACTGATGATAAATGTTACTTTTTTTTTTTTTTTGGTACCAGGGTTTGAACTCAGGGACACTTGGCCACTGCGCCACATCCGCGCCACCGCGCCCGGCCCTCCCTTCTTGTTACTGGCACAATTGCTCCTCATCCACCTCTCTCCAGTTTCCCTGCGTCCTCGCGGCTTTTCAGGGACGTCCTCCAGCTGCGCGCGGGTTCCTAAAGCACCTGCCGCCCCGCAGGCCCCGCCCCCAGTCCCTCCGCCACGCCCACTGGCGCGGCCCCGGCCCTTTTCTCCCGCCTTCACCAGCTGACCTCTCGCGCGGTGCTGGAGAGCCACGGGATTCTGCTCTACCCTCCGTAGTGACCGTGGGAAGATTGGAATCTGGTCACTTGGCATGACCGGACCAAACTGGACGCGCAAAGGGCAAAGCGAACCACCCCGGGTTCCTGGCGGTCGCATCCCGCCCCTCCCTGCCACACCGGTCCAGACCGCCCAGCGGCGCGGACCTCTTCCCCGCTCCCGCCCCGCGCGATCGCCCCAGCTCACCACAGAGAGAGTTCTCGCAGCGGTAGTCAGGGGGACATTGCGAGCACGGAATTCCCTCCTGATAGGGCCTCTGTCCCTTCACGTTCCCCCTGCAAGAGGCGAGGATGGTGCTGGGGAGAGGCTTCGTACCCGCACCCTGTCCCTTCACTCGTTCACACACTCGGTCTACAAGTGCCCCTGGGCCTGCTGCCCCCACTAATAAATCGCTGGGTGACCTCGGGCTCCCTGTGGCCTTCTCTGGCCAAGAAGAGGCGACCCCATTGGTACCCTCTCAGCTCCCTGGAGAATATAGCCCCAGACTGACACCCTTCCCACTTCCTCAGGCCCGACCCAGTTCAGATCTCCTTGACTCTGCCCACTCCCGCCTCCCCACCTCCCCCCATCCCTGGGGCTTCCCCAGCACTTACGGGGGCTCGTAGTTGCACACCAGTAGATGGATGTTGGTCTCCTCAACTCCCTGGAGCTTCTCACAGAAGTGGGAACCGCAGCCGATCCTCTCGGTCTTGGCCCAAACCACCTGAAGGACAGCCAACCTGACAGCTTAGCCCTGAACTGGGTAGGATGGTCCCTTACTGGTGTCTGTCTGCACCAGCCTACACCAGGCATCAATTCCCTGACCACTCTGAACAAGAAGTGGAAGTCAGGGGGACATTGCGAGCACGGAATTCCCTCCTGATAAGGCCTCTGTCCCTTCACGTTCCCCCTGCAAGAAGTGAGGATGGTGCTGGAGGGGAGGCTTCGGTACCCTCACTCCAGCCCATCACTGGTTCAGGAGCAAAGTTAAGGGGCATTTGCTGCCGGGGGCAAATGGCCCTGCATATGGTTTCCTTTTCTTTGAATATTTTTGAACATTCAAAGAAGGTGGAGGTGGGGGAGTTCTTGCCAAACCTATCATTTCCCCAGGCCTCTTTTCCTGATGCATGGAGGTTGGGGGGAGGTACTGGGGATTGAAGGCAGGAGTGCTTAACCACTGAGTTACATTCCTAGCCTTTTTTTTTTTTTTTTCTTTTGAGACAGGGTCTCACTAAGTTGCTGAGTTTGGCCTCAAATCTGTGATCCTCTGGCCTCAGCCTCTGGAGACATTGGGGTTACAGGTGTGCCTCCTTCCCTCTTTAAATCTTCCTGCAGGGGCTGGGGATGTGGCTCAAGCGGTAGCGCGCTCGCCTGGCATGCGTGCGGCCCAGGTTCGATCCTCAGCACCACATACCAACAAAGATGTTGTGTCTGCCGAGAACTAAAAAATAAATATTGAAAATTCTCTCTCTCTCTCTCACGCGCACACACACACATTCTCTCTTTAAAAAAAAAAAAAATCTTCCTGCAGTTCCAGAGTTCTGATATATCTTCTTGAATTTTTCCTGTGGATTATTCCTAAAGATCCTTGCATTTTATACAAAGAAATGAATCTTAAATAAAAGATGCTTAGACATCAACCACAAGAAGTCCAAGGAGGGGCGCAGGTGCAGTTACTCTGCAAGTGGAACTTTTCCCAAACTACAGAGGCAAGGACCTGCTCTTCCTGTTTCTAGGTGTGGGTCTCCTAGCTGCTAGAATGCATTCCATCTTAAGTATAAAATTCTTGAGGGGCTGGGGATATAGCTTCGCTGGTAGAGTGCTTGCTTCTCATGTGCAAGGCCCTGGGTTCAATCTCCATTACCACAAAAAAAAAAAAAAAGATTTATTTTTTTTTCCCCAAATGACTTCTGTGTGCTGCCATGGGTGGAACCACCAACCTTCCCTTGCTATTTCTAGGAGGAGTTTGCCTAGGAGTCTTTCTGCTTATCAGCTGAAGATCTTCAATGCAGATATGACACACAGTGCCTGTTCCCACAGCCCAGAGAAAGCTGGGGTGGAGCTGGGCATACACGATCCTGCTGGGCACCGCCAACAGTCCCTCTGGGAGCTTGTGTGTGCATGGAGAGGGAGAGAGGTGGCAGGGCCGGAGGGAAGAGGGTTGGGAGGGTCCTGGGGCCTCACAGCTTCCTGATCTGGGTGGGTGCTGTTGGGATTTCCTTCCCTAAAGATCAAGACTAAAAATACCACCTAAAAGAGGCACAAAGAAATGGAACTGGAGGACGTGGTGGGAAGATGTTTGGTTTGCTTTTCTTTGAATATTTTTGTCATGTTGTCATTTGTATTTGACAAATAAGCACTGAGAAAAGAAAAAAGGACTCAACTCGAAGGTCCACACCGCCACCCCCGCCCACCCCTCAGTATACACACATGCCTCTTAACTGTAAGTCCAAACTTTCAGATGCAGTGAGAACACAGCAGTGAGCAACAGGTTATTATAAGAGGCAGGGAATGGTGTCATAAGGCCCCCGAAATCTTCCTTCAGTGACAATTTGCCTTATTTATTTATTGGCACTGGGGATTGAACCCAGAGGCACTTTACCACTGAGCCACATCCCCAGAACGTTTTATTTTTTACTTTGAGACACGGTCTCACTAAGTTGGTGAGGGTCTTGCTAAGTGGCTGAGGCTGGGCTGGAACTTGCAATCCGCCTGCTTCAGCCTCCTGAGTCACTTACAGAGACAGTTTGCTCTTGTACATGGTTAATTAAAGCAAAAATTAAATAAGATTGTCTATTTGCTCTTTCAGTCTCAGGTGGATTAGATTCAGCAAATTAAGCATCATGATTCACATCAGGAGAGAGAGGGAGAAAAGAGCAAAGTTAAGGGGCATTTGCTGCTGGGGGCAAAAGGCCCTGCATATTTTAGTCAAAGCAGGAGAGGGCAGGACTGCTCAAAGCCCAGTCCAGATTTCTTCTATGACAATAACTACCATCCATGAAATTGGCTCTGTGACACCTAACTTATGTCTTGCCAGTATTAGGCCAAAAAAGGTGGTCTGGGTTTTCAAAAGATGGTTTTATGTTTTTGTTTGGTTTTGGTATCAGGGATTGAACCCCGGGGTTCTTCACCACTGAGCCACATCCCCAGCCCTTTTTTTAACTTTATTTAGAGACAGGGTCTCGCTGAGTTGCTTATGGCCTCGCTAAATTGCTGAGGCTGGCCTCCAGCTCGAGATCCTACTGCCTCCACCTCCGGAGACACTGAACCCGACAAAATTTGTGGGTTTTAAGGAGTGAAATGACGATGGTTTGGACAGTTTGAGAAGCAGACTTCGTCAAAGGCCTCCACAGCCCATACTGGCTGTGCAGTGTTGAGTCTTAGTGAGCACCTAGGGGTTAGAGTGCAGCGGACTCACTTTGGGGAGGCGGAGAGGCTCAGAGGACTTCCCGGCAGGTGAGAGAAGAGGTGGCCGCCCCCGCCGTGGTCCTACCCCTCCCGCCCCGCCCTCTCTCACTTGGCCCCGCCCCAACCCTCAAGGCCCCGCCCCGCCAGCCGAGCCCCGCCCCGCCAGCCGCGCCTCGCACCTGCGTGTAGTGGCCGCACATCTGGCCTGGGGTGCAGGCGGCGGCGCTGAGGTTGTAGTGCTCTCTCTCGTGGTGCCACTCCTCCATGGCCAGTGGCACGTCCAAGCCCTCGTCCGTGATGGCGAACAGGTTCTCTCCGCGCCGCCCGCGCTCCTTGTTGTGGCCCCACACGCACTGCTGTGCATAGGCCTTGGCGAAGGCCGCCAGCTCCGGGTCCCACCTCTGCAGGGCATGTGGGAGGGAGGTGAGGACGCCTTGGGCACAGTGGAAGTGGGAGAGGGAGGTGAGGGCCCCCACAGATCCTGCAGGGATCAGGGCAGAAGATTGAGGGTGTCCTGGGGGCTTCAGACTCATCCAGCCACCCACTCGCCTTAGAGAGGTGACCCTGAGTCATGACCTGTAGCAGGTCTCTGCTCCTGGTGGGCTTCTGTGGGAAGGGGAGAGGGGCCACCCCAGGCAGAAAATTTCCTCGAACTTGGGACCATTCACCACCTGTGTGACTTGAGAGAACTCTCCTAGGCAGTGGAAAGATTGAGTCACCCATATGGTGTCTGGGACAGTTATTAATCTCCTATGTACAAGGCGGGCAGTGATACCCTTCTCAGGGCATTTAAACTGCTCTGAAGCCCACAAGGCGTCCAGTGAGATGGCCAAGGCTGGGGTGTTTATTCAGCCCATTTTGTCTCGCCCTCCTCTTCCCTCTGTCCCCACTCCCCTTGGGACTGTCCAGCCCCATGCCTTTACCCTCTCCAGGCTTCCCTCCCAGGTGCTACTCCAAGTGCTCTCAACTATCATCTGGCAACGCCTTTCCCCAAGCAAATTAAGTCTGACAATGCAGTAGGCCCCTCTCTGAAGGCCCCGGCGGCCTATCTTCTGGCCCTAGTAACCCCACAGCTGTCAGGTCCCAGAGGCAGTGTTCTCCAGGGGGCCTCAGGTGAGATGCTGGGAGGGGGAATTTTAGGATAGAGGGCCTCTGAGGTTCTGCTTCTGGCTGGGAGGACAGACTGAGTGTGGGTGGGAGGACAAAGACTGGGGAGGGAGGTCTGGATCCCATTAAACTTTGTCCTTGGCCTCTCCTGGAAATGGATGTCCTGGCGGCAACTGTTGCTCCACCCTCCAGGCTCAGCCAGCTTTGAGAGCCAGACAGCCCATAAAGCAGCAAGAGCCGGGTGACCCCAGGGGAGGGGGCTGTGTGGCCACGCCCACTCCCCACCCACTCAGGGCTTCCTGAGCAGCTGCTGGAGTGGGGATGGAAGGTCCAGGCTGGGACAAGGTTAGGGCTGGGACCTCAATGAATCCCTTTCTCTCTCTGGGCATTTTTGCCCCAAATCACTGGTCCCTGAGTTCTCTCAAATTCAGCAATGGTGGAAGAGTTGAGGGGGGTGGACCAGGATGCCATGTAGGATGACCGCAGGCTCCAGGCTAGACTGAAGGCTCCCTCAGGGTAGGGCAGTCATGTGTCCCATGTCTGACACAGTCCTGGTGCATAGTCATGCTTAACACATACTGTTGATGGCAGAAGTGGCTCTGCTTAAAGCAGCCTCCCTACAGAGTCCAGGAGTAATGTCCATTCTGATTAGACACTTGATGTCCTAGAGAGTCGTTGCTTTGGGTATGAAGGCTTCTCAGTCATCCAGAGCGCCCGTGGAGGTGCTCCATCCACCTTGGCCACTTGGTCACCAACTGGAAGCAAGTTCCCTAGTCCTTCCATTCATTCCATACTCCTGGGCACTGTGTCAGCCCTAGACAACAGCAAGCACCAAGGAGCCCAAGTTCACAGGGTTGTAAAGTCAGCCGGATCAGGATGTGGTAAATACCATAAGCAGTGAGCACTACCAGGCACCAAAGAGGGCCATTTAGCCCAGGCTGAGGGTGGAGAAGGGGACACCCAGCCAAGTGTTCAAAGATGAGGTGTTGGCCAGGTGAAGCCGGGGAGAGGCGCTCGTGCAAAGCACAGAGCTGAGACATTCCCAGTTCCCTTGGGACAATCCATACTCCATGCCTTTGCCCTCCCCAGACTTGAGGAAAGCCAAGCTGCTCAGGTAACTGAAGGCTAAGGGTGAACAGGAGAGGGGGCTGGAGACAGAGGCAGTGGCCAGAACACACAGGGCTTTCTCAATGAGGAGGCAGTCGGGAGCCAGTGGGAGCCACTGAAGGTCTTGGACAAGGGGCAGAGCCATGTGTTAGGGCTCTCATTCTTGTAGCAGAGGCCAGTGGCTGGGAAGGAGGTGGGGGCTATCCTAGGAGTCTCTGGGTGGAAAAAATGGAAGACTGAACTTGGTTTGTGTCAAAGAGAGAAAAGGCTGGGGGTGGGGAGTAGGAGTAGGTAGGGTTCAATGGAACCTTCTGGAAGGTAAAAGTGGTGACAAGTAGAGTGGAGGCTAAGGGAGAGGGGAGCAGCTGTGAATGTCAAACCTGCCTCACCCGGGATCCATTCTCTCCAGTGTGGGAAGGGGGTGTCGCTCCATGGTCGAGCACTTGTCTGGCGTGTGTGAGGCCCTGGGTTCAATCCCCAGCACCACACACACACACACACACACACACACACACACACACACTCATTGAGCACTGCTGTGTGTCAGGCACTGTTCCTAGAGCTTTACACGTCTTGCTCATTTAATTGTATAACTACCCTGCAGGGAGTTGTTCTATTATTCCCACCTCACAGATGAGGAAACTGAGACACAGAAGAGTTAAATAAATACCTTGGCCAAAGTCGTACAGCTAATCATTGAGAAAGCCAAAAATTGAATCCAGGCCATCTGGCTCCAGGGGCTCTGCATTTACCCTTTACTGAGGCGGAGCCTGAGTCCTGTCACAAACGCATCCTGACACTGGCCCAGCCTCATCTCCACCTTATCACTTCCCACGAGGCAGCAGCACATCACTCTGACACTCTGACAGTATGGCACTGCTTCCCAGCATGTGGCCATACTCCAGGATGCACCTCTTATCTGGGAACTGCTCCCAGCCTGCGTAGACCCTCATCCTTGGCCTGCAAGACTGGAGGGCATTGGGGATCCACAGACAGGGACACTGAGGCCCAACAGGTCCCAGGCCGCAATCAGGGGGCTGTTGGCAGAGTGGAGGCCATCATTCGGGGCTCTCTGTCGTCTGCATTTCCGGGCTGCCAAGGCCAACGGGCTGTGAATGGGGCATTGGGCATGTAGGCAGAGCCCTTCCCACAGCTTTCACACGTCTCATCCTGTCTGACTCTCAGGACGGGTTGGTGGGCGGGGGGGTTGCCAGGCCCATCTTCCCATCAGGGAGCAGAAGGGAAAGGGGCACCCAGAGTTACTAACCCAGATGGGACGGAGCTGAGGTTAGAATTCAGGCCTTGGGCCCCCAGGCTCACTGCTCTGCTCCCCAGGGGTGACCTTGCTCTCTCAGACCAGCTCCAGGGCTTCCTGGACACTGCCCACCCACTTCCCAGGCCCCCGGGAGAGGCTGGAGAGGACCATGGGAAAGGGCAGGAAGGGAGTGGATTTCCTCACCTCATCTCTAATCTTGAGCACAGACATCCCTCCTAACCCTGCCACCAAATGGCTCTGCCTGCCTGGAAGAATCCGGTTTCTGTCACTTACACACATGCATGTGCCTTTTCTGCATCTGTTTCTCACTGGTACATAAATAGTATATTTATGTTTTATGTACTTTTTTTTTTGAGATTTCATCCCTGCCCACAAAATTATATCTGTGAGGTTCAATCAGTGGTGTGTGTGTGTGTGTGTGTGTGTGTGTGAGAGAGAGAGAGAGAGAGAGAGAGAGAGAGAGATTATGACCCCATTTTACAGATGAGAAAATGACAGATGCTGAAAGGACTTGGCCCAAATCATAGGTCTTGTTAGTGATGGAGACAGAATTTGGACTGTGGGGTCCAGAGCTCCATCTGCTTCTGGTTCCTGCTCCCACCTGCCTCCTCAGTACCTCCCTCCTGCCCCAAGTGCAGACCTATCAGCTGCCCTTCCTTTCCGCATCATCTTGAGGGACTTCTAAAAGACTCTTGTCACAAAGGTGACCCCTTACAGAGGCACATGCATTTTTGGAAGTGCTGGGAGGGGTCACTGGAGTGGGAAGCCAGGGCTTCCAGGTCTGGCTCTCTCAGCTGCAGGAGCCCAAGCATGTCCCTCTGAACCTCAGTTTCCTCATCTGTATTATGGGGCCGCTCATGGGAACCTGTGAGGTGAACAATGTCAGGATGCTGTCACTGGCCCCAGAGGCGAGTCTCTGGAGACAGCCAGCTTCAGCATGGGAGGGTGGAAGTGGGGAGGAGTGGTGGGCGGTAGGCCTTGCCTGGCACCGCTCCCCCAGCCGCACTCACCATCCGTCGCATGTCAGAGGCTGGCGGGAACACCTGGGCGCGGTAGAGGTTGTGCAGCTCCACCATGGCACGCTGCTCATCCTTCGTGAGGGCTCTGGCGGGGTCTGGGGTGGCCATCAGCAGCAGTGGTGGCAGCAGCAGCAGCGCCCGGAGACTGCAGGAGCTGTGCATGGTGGCCTGCACTCCCTGCCTCTCCCGTCCAGGGGTCTGGCCGCTGGATTTAAAGTCCTTCCCACACAAGCACCACCCTGGCTGGGGTGGGGCAGCAGGGCTTGTGTCTGGAGGCCCTGTCGGCTCTACAATGTCTCGGGGAGGGCTGGGTCCCAAACAGAGCCGAGTCCACTCCCCCTGAGTCCTTGGCAAAGCCTCCTTTCTCTGGTAACAGGGGCGCAGGCCAAGGGCTGTGTGAGTTCTGCAGTCCCTCCCGGGCTGTGGACGGAGTCTCAAGGGGCAAAACATCTGCAGAGATGTGGCTGGTCGCCCCCGGGCCCCACCCACTGGGTGCTAAGGAGAGAAACCACCCAGACCTACCACCAGAGGATGGATCCGGTGAGACAGGGAAGCCACGGTGGCTTTGGAAGCACACAGGAAGATGAGATGTTTGGTAAAAGGTCCAACCTAAGTCTGCATCCCAGTCCTGCCCCTTGCCATCTGCGTTTCTGGCAGTACTGAGTGACAATAATCGTGCCTACCCACAGGGCGGGAGGAAGGAGTAATGAGATGTAATATCCCGCAGTGGCTCGAGTGGTATCTGCGCATGGTGAGCCTTTAGAAGGGAAGGCCACAACGCCCCGCATGGCGAGGCCTTGCCTGGCTCCCAGCCCAGGGGAGGCAGGACCCTTGTGGTGGAAGAAGGGCCCGAGGTGTTTCCCACTTTGGCTGTGTCCTGGCGTCTGGCCTCTCGCATGGGCAGGGTCTGGCCCCAGGTGTCTTCTGTGAATGCTCATGCTGGGGTGCGCATTTGGAAACGGATGCTGGGACTCCTCAGGTGTCACATAGTCAGAAGATAGAGTGGGTCTGCTTTCCAAAGTAGGAGACAGCAGAGAAGCAGAGGGCACGTGAGCTGGTGCAGCGGGAGCTCTGCGGAGAGGGCTTGGAGGGCACCAGAGGGAGACTGGCGCAGCCACCCAGCAGGGTGCTGTCGTGGCCATGCAGGGCAGGGAGCTGGAACCGGCACTGCCAAAATCTGTGGGGACCGTGAAGCCTGTACCCTTAGTCAATGGGGACCTAGAAAAAGCTTACCCATGGAACTTGGAAGATTTCAAGGAAACCTGTCCCTACCCAGGCCTCCAGTTAAAGAGAAAAACTACAACAAAAACGTTGGCCTGGGGCTGGGGTTGTGGCTCAGCAGTAGAGTGCTCTCCTAGCATGTGCAAGGCCTTGGGTTCGATCCTCAGCACCACATAAAAATAAAATAAAGATATTGGGACCAACTACAACACACACACACATATAAACCTTGGCCTGGCATGGTAGCACACGCCTGTGATCCCAGCTTCCGCTGGAGGCTGAAGCAGGAGGCTGAAGCAGGAGGATACCAGTTAAAGATCAATCTGGGTGATTTAAAGACCCAGTCTTGAACAAAAGTGGGGTGGGGTGGGGTCCAGTGCTGGAGGGTGTGTCAAACCACTGTCATACCAGGATGGGGTTCAATCTCCAGGACCACAACAAACACACACACACACACAAAAAAAAAAAAAAAAAAAATGGTTTTTTTTGGATTCCATAAGAAACAAAAACTCAGTAATCAATTCAGCAAAATTGCAGGATTCAAAATCAACACACAGAAATCAGATGTTTCTATGTACTAATAATAAATGATCCAAAAGAAAAAGAAAACAATTCCATTTACAATAGCAACAAAATAGAATACAATTTGGGCTGGGATGTAGCTCAAAGATAGAGCACTCCTGGGTTCAGTCCCTG